CCACTAAGTCCACGAACAACACAGTGATTTGATTACTGATAAGTGCTTGTAAGTTATTTTGAGTAATTACAATTGAACCCGATGAGGGTAATCAATAGTGATCATTTACAAGTACGTACTTATTTCAAAATTGACATTTCTGTGTTCTCCTCTGTTGAAGAGTTTAATTTGTATTTTGTTATAAAACGGCAGTTCGGACGTTCATACTTTTTATAGAGAATACTTCATGGAAAGTGCTGGCGTACGGTATTTACACACGAGTTGTTGACGTATCAGAAATCGAACGAGTGAGCGCAGCGAACGAGTAAGATTTCTGATACAAAAACAACGAGTGCGTAAATATCGTACAAAGCACTTTCCATGTGGTATTGTGTTTATTATATACATACCGAGACATTCATCATTTTGGCGGCCTTTTTATTTTAAATCTTTCAAAAATGCTTATTTGCCGCTACATACTTGCCACAAAATGACAACGAAAACGAAGTATCAGCTTTTTAGTAAAAACGTTTGTTAAAACATAAATGACGGTAAGGATATGAGGTAATCCAAGAACTATAAGTAATCTTAACTGTTTGTTGTCAATGCACAATTGAAAATGAGTGAATTTAAGTAAAATGGCCGGTTTCAATATAAGCTTAAGCTTAAATGAAAGGCAAAGTAGCTCCGACAAAAAGCACAACAAAAGCTTAAGTCTCGTTCTGTTTTTCACTTTCCGCTGTTGTTTCGCCGGCTCTCTACCGTTTTCTTTATCGACAGTGAAACAAACGAAACTATTCCACTCCATTTCCGAAATGTTTTTCACTTTTTTAGCGAGAAAAACTCTTTGAGTAAAACTTTTCTCGTTGAATGTGTGCGAAGCGGCGCTGCAAGCTGCAATAAAAGGCGGGAATTTTGGCGCGAAACTCACACACCTCTGTGGCCTTTGATTGGACGTATCATTTTTCTCACACGTGAAAAAACATCGTTCGCTCCTCTGATTGGCTAGAACTAATTTACGTAAGAAAATTTACGACATAGCTTTTTGGTGTGTGTTTCTCAGTATGTATATAATAAAAAACCATTCGTAATGCTAGTATAACAGGTCATAAAGATAGAAAATTTTCTTTGCTCTCTTTAATTTAGAATTGTATTCGTTCTGATACAGAAATCCTCTACTTCAGTAGCAAAATGTACCGCAAAAAAGACTATGACAGATTGAAATCACCTTGATTAGAAACTATTTTTACAACATGTTAGTAAAAGATGTGTTAGCATATAGTCATGGCCCCATTTGTTCGAAATGTGAAAAGTGTTATCCACAGGAGAAATCACAATCCATACAGTGGATAAGTATCGGAAAACCCAATTGCATTATTCGCTGGACAGAGATGGATAGCACTGACGACTGAGGACAGATCAAAACCCGCTGCATGGCCTGGATTGACAGCTTTCTTCTTTACAGACTAGTGAGCTTAAGACCCGGTGCTAGGCCTTTGTAAGTGCATAAGACTGAGGTGCTAACTGTAATCCACGGCTGTCCTTTATGTACCAAATTATCTAATAGAGTTTGAGAGTTAGTCTCTCTAAAAACAAGGTTCATGATTTGCCTTTATGAATGTATTTTAGAAACCGAAGAACCATGTAAACAAGTCCAAGAAGGAAACGAAAACCCAGCAGCAAGTCAAGGCGCCTGCGGGACTTCTGCATATGCAAAACGAGGTAACTGATGTAACGTGGCTGTCACAAAAATATTACATAAAAGGGCCGGTCTGGCATCAAGGCCATTTTTTTAAACAGTGTGGATTGTTGTTATCGTCCACGAAACTCGATTATATACAGGTTGAAAGGGTGTGACTGGAATTTGTTACTTGCTTAGAAATCTTCTTTATTAGAGGTTATTGCATCTCAGAGCTGAATTCCCAAGACGTATAAAAACGTAAGGATTTAACCTTGGAGTGAATGACATACCGAGAAAACCGAAACCACCCACTAAAATGACGAAGACAGCGAACAGCGTTGCTCTAATTTTGAATATAAGTTCGAGGTTGATGACATATGCCGATCATTTGCCTTCATATACCAACGAACGACGTTACGGTTCGACAAGAATTTCATACGAATACCAAGGCAGAAGCTCGTGTTTACTATTGCTGGGTTAGTATGCAAAGTACACTCCAAACGAACAGAACAACATAACGGGTATTTCCAGCTCAAGCACTAAGACGGGTTCCTAAGTCCCGTCCTATACTTTTCGCTACGTTTTTTCGTTTTAGAGTATATTGAGTCCCTCTTCCTTTTGTTTTAAGATGACCATCTCAACAAACAAGGTAAAAAAGGACGCGGGAGAGGAGCACCGTTGAGCCGTGGAAAGGAACAGCCGATGCCTTCAAAAGGGAGAGGAAAGCATTCAGGTGAGACAAAATATGAACTACCCGTTCCTGCCTAAAGCAGTCTCCTCATGCCACTTCTAATTGTTTTAAATTTCTGCAATTCGCTAATTTTATACACCCTCCGCACTTGTCGAGGAACAAGTATGCCAAACAGAAACATTGAAACCAAAGGATTAGCTTGCGATCTGCAGGAAGTCCGTTGAATCGCCACAAGTCAGTTTTTAGAGGCAGGAGTCTTACGACCTAACGCTGAATAGAGCATGTACGCCTAAAGCAACAAGTAGTAAACTTGAACAGGAGAACAGTTTGTATTTGTAATCTTATGACGGTGCATTACTTTAACGCTGGGAAAAAATCTTTTTTCTGGGACTAAAATTTGTATTGTTTTCTCAACCAATCGGCGCCCGGCATATTAGATGACCGTCAATCAAAATACCCACCACGCTTTGACACCACTATATTTTACAACAGTTTTCTGAAATAGCGCTCGTCCACTCGGCAAACTCAAGTGAATACAAATGTTACTTCACGTCAAATTATTACACCTTCAAGTGAATAAAAGCTAGAGTACTTGCCTTTATGAGGGGTATCAGTACTCGCGTCAGAAAGTTGAAGAACGATACACAGTGAATACACCACATAATTACGTCTCTCGTTGAACTAGCCAAACCAAAGAGAGTGTTGTGTAAGGTAACTTAAAGCGTCGTGCAACACTACTACCCAACCAAAGTCCTCATAAATTGAATCAGGAGGGTGATAGGGTCCTGATTGAATCCCTTAAGAAAATGTCTCAAATACTACTTAAGCAGAGTAACCAACAAAGTAGCAGAAAAAAAAATCAAACTTTAGAGAGTTTGCAGTTTTGTACTTCACAGGATCGTTAGTCACGCCCGGATAAGCTGTTATGACGTGGGCGTCCAGTAGCTTGTCATGATCCGATCTGGATCCACTGCACTCAACAAAGACCTTCGGCTAATTTACATTGATATACCTGGTAAACTATTGGAAACTTTTTCTCCAACTTAATCAGGTGCTGGAGGACAGACGGGAAAAAGAGAAAATGGAACGTCAGTAAGAAGTCAACAAAGAAGAACTGGAGAGACTGCTGACAACACACCAATTAAAAAACAAGTAAATGGTAGGGAATTATCAACACACAAGTTAAGGTAGCCCGTACACAGACGTTGTTTTTATCTCTTTCCGTTCTTTTCGAAAACATCTGCGAGTCCATGTTTCTTCTTCCCCCACCACTACCCCCTTGCGCTGACGGTCAATAATTCCCTGCGGTTTATATTTTATCACCCGCGCTCGACGGACTTTTTAAGAGCAAATAGAGGGTCTGTGAACAGGCTAAAGTTAAAGTAGACAGTTAATTAAAACCAAAATCAGTCGACTCTGATACACAGCCACAAGTCAAGAAACAAAAGAAATTCACCATTTCCGTGTTAGGCCCAATGATAATGTTTGAAAATATTTCAAATTCAATTTTTTTTGTTTTATTTCCAGACAGACTGTATTCCTATACTGTTTTGTCTTTTCATCTAATTTCATTTTAATTCTTTTTTGCCATTATGGATTTTAGTTTCCGTTTTTACTTCTGTGTTGTTACAGTATGCTACGTTTCTCTATGTTTTCCACTATGTAAGCGGGCACGTGTCGATCGCGTGTCGCAATCACGATCGTAATCATTTACGTAGGTTATATTTTAAAATGGAACCATTCCGAACCATTGACACTGAAATCAAAGTAGCACTGTACTCTTGAAGACGACAGTGACAGCCGAAACCTCGGGAAAGGCTATTCACAGTCTTCCGTGATAATTTGGAATTGGATTCTTGACCATCACATTATTATCCTAAAAAAATGTCAAGTCTCCAAGATCACTGCAAGTGCAAGATTGACTACGTCTTCATACAGCAATACTAGTCTGGGTCCATAAAAACTCAAAACGAACTTGTCCAATATGCAGCCATCTTGACTTAACACATATACGTTATATGTTATACCTTTTTACGATTGTGATCGCGTCAAAAAAGGCGATTCACGTCACAGTGCGCACTAGGTAAGAAAGTGAAGGAATGTAACGTTGTTAAGAAGGTACTTTTAGAGCAGTGCCTAGAGGTGTCACGCTTTCTCTCCCAGAAGGGCAAGTCCATATTAAACTAAGGTTAAACATTTAACATAAAATCTGTTCTCCTATTTGTGTTAATGGTTTTTATCCGTAAAAAATGAAAAACAAAAATAAACATAAATGCGTTTTTCTCTTGATGCAGATGCAACAAGCCAAAATGAAGAATCTGGTAGATCTGGTGTTGTGAACAAAAATAAAGGAGTAACAACAAGGAAAAAATATCCCTCCCTCGATCCCAAAATCTTGAAAGAGAAGGAAAGTACAGAAGTGGTCCACAAGCTGACTGAGGGTATGCCTCTGCTGAAGTTCTATCTTCGATCACAAGAGGAGCAGCACAACAGCGATGAATTCATTTTCAACCTCATTTGCACTTTAGCTAAGGCATGTAAAGCGCCACCAGGCAAAAATACTAATAAGGTATTAGCTGCACTTAAAGGTTCTGTATTCTTACTCTCAAAGATTCCCTACTTGCTTGATCGCGTTGCGGCGTCAACGGCCTTGAATGACCAAGCTTCTCGACAAAGGCTCACTCAATGTCTCATCATTATCTTTATGAAGTTCTTAACGCACTTGCCCAGTTCATATTCCGACCTGCCTTACGCTCAATTGAAGGCAACGTTAGATCATTTAGCAATAGAAGAAAAAGAACAGCTACAGAAAGAGTTGGATGCTTTTAAGCACGCAAGAGATGAAATAATCAGAGCTGAAAGACAGAAACACGGACAACGGTATAGAGTGGGAGAAAAACCCCCAAATGATTACAGAGACATACCTATTTGTCCCACAATCAAAGAAATCACAACTCAAGAACGACCTTTCTTACGTAAGAACATTTTAAGAGGACGGTACGAGAACACCGAGCACTATCTTGATGTGCAGTTTCGACTGCTTCGGGAAGACTTTCTTGAACCACTAAGGGAAGGCATTCAAGAAATCGTCCAAAACATACCAAGACAAGAGCGAAAACAATTGATGAAAAACTATTGCGGGGTACGGATCATTGGCAAGGAGTACACGTGGGCTGGGGTCATTCATCAACTGAAAATTGATGTTTCAGGAATAGACACCAGCAGGTGGGCACATTCCAAACGACTCATGTATGGTTCATTCCTTTGTCTTTCGACCGACAACTTCAAAACGATGTTATTCGCGACAGTTTGTGACCGAGATCCAGAGAAAGTGACGAGAGGACGAATAGACGTTCAGTTTATCGAAGAGCAACAGGTCTTGGGTGTAGAGAACAGCAATTGCGTTTACCAAATGGTCGAGTCACCTGCCTACTTTGAAGCCTACCGTTATGTCCTTAAAGGGTTGAAAGAATTAGATGAATCAAACTTGCCGTTTAAAAAATATCTGATTGAATGCAGTGCTGAAGTTGACCCACCAGAGTATTTAAGACGCAGTGATACAGAAAAGCCGGTATGCTATAATCTTAGTAAGGCTCTGAGGGTATCAAAGGCCACATCAGTGCCTGTTCTTCAACCTGCAGCTTGGCCCTCTGCTAAAACGCTTTCCATGAACAGCTCCCAGCTTGAAGCTTTGAGAACAGCAATTACAACTGAGTTCTCTGTGATACAGGGTCCTCCGGGAACTGGGAAGACTTACGTTGGAGCTAAGATTGTAAGATGTTTACTTGAAAATCGACGCGCTTGGGATCCTCGTCACACCTCGCCGATGCTGATGGTCTGCTACACAAACCATGCACTAGACCAGTTTTTGGAAAAGGTTCTGAATTTTTTACCGAGTCAAAAAATAATACGGGTTGGAGGAAGAAGCAAAAGCGAGAAACTAGACGCTTGCAATCTGAAGAAGTTTACTCACCGATACAGAGACCGTGGAAGACGAAACACAATCGAGACCATGATGAAGAAAAATGACAGAGAAATTAGACATTGGAAGAAGTGTCTTAAAAAGGCCGACTTTCAGCTCTTGGAGTTCGACGACTTGGAAGAACTGCTGAAGCCAACGCATGCACAGCAGCTGTACAAAGCCATGTACCCACCTAACGTCGCACACGAATGCCGGATCCCGCAGAACACCTTCAAACTGTGGTTGTGTAATAACAAACTGTTAGGTTCTCGTAACGTTAGTAATAATGGATCAGCCTTTGAAAAAAATGCCAGAAATACAGACAATGAAACGCTGTATGAAGTGTCTTGGTTGTTTGCACCACAGGATCATGTCAATGAAGACAGCAATCCCAACTCACTAAAAGATGCTTCACTCGATCAATGTACTGCCATGGATGTATCCAAAGAAAGAAATGAAAAACGCCTTGAATCAGAATTTGTCGCCTCGGAGCCGACAGCGAGTGAGTACGCCTTGCCAAAAAGTATTTCAACTAGAAAAACAAATCACTCACCGGAGACACCACCCCGAATAAATGCTCCCAACCTTGTTCTAGAAAATAAACAGGACTGCTCAGCGTCGGAAAGAGCAGAGATATCGGACACTACTGATATCGCTCAGGGAACTGAATGCTCACACACCGAAAACGCAAACATTTGTGGGAATGTTGATGACATGAGTGAGAGATCGGATCAGAAGACCATCGATGTGGAACGGGAGGCAGACATAATTCAAGATCAAAGACTCATAGAAGGCGAAAAAGAGCTATTGCTACCCATATCAACAGGAACCGCAGACTTATTCGATCTGGCACATGATCAGAGAGGGCCAGCCGAAGAAGATGACGGAGAGATACTTGTAGCCAGCAGCAAGGAAGATCAATTATTTCCCTGGCAGAAACCAAAAGACAGAAAAGAAGACAAAACGGTCAAAAACGGGTCACCAAAGAAGAAAAGAAGGAACAAAAACAAGAGAGCTGTAATTAGAATCCCTAAAGATATAACTCATCTAAAACAGGATCTAAAACAAAAAGAAATGATGACCACGGATGAAGCAATGGCCGTTGACAACATCTGGGAGATGTCGCAATCAGATCGACTTCGGCTATACCTTTTCTGGATTAACAACTATCGTGAACGCTACAGAACA